TCTCTCCAGCTGCTGTTTTCGTTTCTCCTTCCCCATTTGTGTCCTGCCTCTTCCTACCCGTCCTTGGCTGGCAGAGTGCCGGCATCCTATGTTTCTCCCTGTTTCCTTGTCTCACTCTGGTTGCAAGGCAGAGTTTGCCTACACAGCGCAAGTCACATCTGAGAGAATTGATTCGAAATGCCGTTGGGTTTCACAGCAGCTTGGTCAGGGTCATTACTGATGAATGCAGAAGCTGCTTTTCTGCCCAGATGGACCTCACAAAGCCCAGCCAAGGGGAGAGACGGGCTCTTCCCATTTTGTCTTAACGGAGACGGGCACAGGCAGCGTTGTCACAAAGACAGTAGAGAATCACGTAACCACAGAATATAATAGAACACATCGGCGTCTGAAGTGTGGAGAAGGAGAACAAGGGAGACGTGGAGCTTCAATGCTCTTCCCTCAATCAGGATCTAAGAGGACCGACGGACAGGAAAATGTCACAGTTGGTATCAGTTCCCATGGCTGCCTTTCTGATAGCCAAATCCTTGCAATAATGCTTGAGGCATGAATTTTGTGAATTAGAATGCATAGGCTCAAATCCAGGCTTCCTGCTTATGAGCAGAGTGCCCTTGAACAGTTCAGTTTCTCGGTGCCTCCGTTTCCTCATGGGGAATGGACGTAGTGATACGACACACAGCAGGAGTGTTTCAGAGGAAACAGGAGAGTAATGCCCGAGAAGCACTTAGAATTCTTTATATAAAATGTAATTATTTTGGTATTGTGTATGTGGGCAGATGGGTGTGTGTACTGTGACACAAGCAGGGAGGTCAGAGGGCAACTCTTTCCATCTTTGTGTGGATTCTGGGGATCAAACTCAGTTGCTACGCTTACATCACCAGGTGGCAGGTTCCTTTGCCTGTCCTCTCTTGTAGATTCGTAATAATGATTTGTTATTATGTTTACTTTTTGATTCACCAATTCTTTGTTGTTGTTGTTGTTTCCTTTGGTGTTTGGGGGACAGGATCTCTCTTTGTAGCCACGGCTGGCTTCAAACTCGGAGCGGTACTCCTGCCTCTGCCTTGAAAATACTGGGATTAAAGGTGGGTGCCACCACACTGGGCATGGGTCACCAAGTTCTCTTTACTACTCCTGGTTGGTTGCACCCAGGAGTTCTGAGCAGATCCTTATACGGGGCTGTGGATACTTGCTAGAAGGTGCTTTTCTCCCCAGTAAGCCAAATCCCTCTTCTGGCTTCTAGTTCTTCCTGTTCAGAGGAACACACTATGACTTATCAAACCCAGGCCCACCGAGGCGTTCTAAGCAAGTGTTCTACTGTGGAAGGTATCCCTACCCCTTACTGGAGTGAACAGTTTCACATTTTAGAAATAAGTGTTTGATCCAGTGCAAATTCTTTTTTCCTCTGTATTTTTAGTTATTCAGCATATATGAATGCTAGAGACCTAAGCATTTATCATTGAAAAAGATTCTAGGTTTCAAGCATATTCGTTAATGTTTGAACAGCACGGAAACATTTGCACATCTTTGCTGTGGCACAGGGACTGGAGTATCATGCTTGAGAAAGCCCATCCAGACACATCCTTCTCCAGAACGGCTGGGAACAAGCCGTCAGTCATGCGAGGCGCACTCCTTTGCCTCTCTTCCATTCTTATCATACCAATCTCCCTTGCAGAGTTGAAGCTGTCCATAAATATTTTCCTTCCAAACTGTGGGAAATAAGTTGTGAGTAACGCTGACTCTTTGCTAAGGTTACATTAGGGGACGGCTTATCATCTAAACAATGAGCACAAAAGCGGTTCAGTCCTGGGGCCTCGGACAAGAGGCCAACAGGGTGCTCACCCTTGTTCTCAGGCATTCCAAGGGAGTGGCAGACAGACAGCCACTGCAAGACATTTTCAAGGGCCTTTCCTCCCCACTCTTCAGAGGGCCGTCTCTGATCGTTTAGAAAAGGATTTGTTTTGCAAGGACTTAAAGTGTCCCAGAGAACTGTTTATCCATACTAGGACTGCAGTGTGCTTAATACAGCCAGATGCACGTTGCTGCTTGACTCGTGGTCACATCCCCACAGATCTGACCTCATTACATGGACACTATTAAAAGATTATCCTGTTATTGAGACTTTCCATTGCATCAGATACTAACCATCAGGAACATTCCTCTACGGGGAAAATGATGTAAGAGGGGGCACAGGCTGTGTTGACCTCAGGCACATCAGGGTAGGTATGTGCGGATTGCTCAACAAGCAGCTGACTAATTAAGCCCCAGTGGTACAGGGAAGAAAGCTTCAGGGGCATAGACATTCCCCCTGGAGCTCCTGAGGGATGTGTTTCGGTTCAAATGCTGCCATACATGGAAGTTCGATTTGACTCTGTTGACTCAGTGGTTGACCCAGGTGATTATTTTGTAAGATGCTCAGAATACAGAGACTTCTCATACCTACAGAGAGCAGCCCTGGCAGGGATGGGGCGATGAGGGGGTATTTTGTTTATGATCTAGCCAAGAAAGCTTGCCTGGAGATCAGAGTGTAGAGCTAGCCACTAGTTAACCACAGAGGCCAGGCAGTGGTGGCACACACCTTTAATCCCAGCACTTGCCTTTTTGATCCCAGTGCTTGGGAGACACATGCCTTTAATCCCACACTAGGGAGGAGGAAACAGAAAGTGGTACGGCTGGGCAGAGAGAGGAATATAAGGTGAGTGGAGGCAGGAGCTTGTCCCTCTCAGGCTGAGGAGGTGGCGAAATAAGAAGTGGCCGTGGCTCACGCCTGAGTCTCTGATTTTTCGGCATTTACCTATATGTGACTCTGGGTTTTTATTATTAAGACCAATTAGAATTCGTACCACAGAGTGGAATATAGTGTTAAAAAAAAATCCAGGGACTGGAGAGATGGCTCAGAGGTTAAGAGCACTGACTGCTCTTCCAGAGGTGCTGAGTTCAATTCCCAGCAACCACATGGTGGCTCACAGCCATTTATAATGAGATCTGGTATATGCAAGCATACATGGAAGGAATGTTGTATACATAATAAATAAATAAATCTTAAAAAAAAAATCCAGAGAAGGGCGGCTCCGCCGGCACAAAGAAGTCCAATTAGGTCAGATCAAACCAAATTAAAATGCCCATCGTTTTCTTAAGTCCAGAGCTCTCGGGTGGCCAAGTGCATGGCGGGGAGACAGGAAGGTGGGGAGCCCATGCAAATGTTTCTCCTCTGGGAGCTCACTTAAATACCCTGTGGCATGCTGGGATTTGGAGTCCTGACCAAAGCAACTCCCAGTCCAGGGAGGCTGGGATGGATGCCAGGGGCTGGGACTACGCTCCAGACTTAACATGTAGTAGGGAGCAAAACAAGAGTTCTCCCCATTTTCTTTCTCTAAGACCCACCTCACCCCAACTTTCACCGCTCCCCACTTTGGAAACCAAAGGGTGCCCCCCCCCGGATGTCAAAAACAACAGTGGAAAGACTGCAAATGATTTCAGAATCAGATATTAAGAAATTATTATACTATGGATTTCTTTTTAATGCTGCAAGAATGGTGCTTTAAGAGCAACTATACAGAGGAAAGTTCCAGTCTCAGAGGACCTGCGCTAATCAGCTTTCTGTTGTGGCAAAACCCTGAGGTGAACATCTTAGATGAAGAAGGACCGATTTTGGCTCACAGTAACAGAAGTTTCAATCAGTGGTCACTTGGCCATGTTGCTCTAGGGCCTGTGCTGAGGCAGAGCATCATGGTAGGGGTGCAGAAGAGCAAAGCACCTCCCCTCAAGGGAGTCAGAAAGCAAAGAGGTCCAGGAAGGGAAGGACTGTATCTCCAAGGGCACCTCCCTTCCTGTCACCAGGCGCCACCTCCTAAAAGTTCCACCAGGGGTGATGACCAAGTCTTTACCAGGCCGGCCTCAGGCCAGGGGACACGCCAAGGTGACAGAGACAGGAAACATTACCGCCCAACAATTAGGCAAATTATATAAAATTAATCTTTTGGTTACGATTTTACTTGATCATATTTTTAAAACTTCCTTCCACTGACTGAATTTTAATTGTCGGGAAAAATAGCTGCAGAAACAGCGCAGCGCAGTGAGAGGGGACCTGTCTTCCCTGGAAGGGCAGACACTGCTATGATCTGTTTTCAAAGGCTGAAGAAACCATGTAATCCAGTAAGAGTGTCTTTAGGTTGGCGGATGATCTTGCATTGTGCTGAAGCTTTCCCCCTCCTTAATGCGTCCCGTTTCAAGCTCTCTCTTTACACAGTGTAATCAAATATCTCAGAACATTAGTGTGTGTGCCAGTGTGTGTGGTTGGAGGACAACTTTCTGGGAGCTGGTTCTCTCTTTCCACCTTGTTGAGGCATTCTACCTTCTTTCCTCCCTCCCTCTCTCCCTCCCTCCCTTCTTCCTCTTTCTTCTTCTTCTTCTTCTTCTTCTTCTTCTTCTTCTTCTTCTTCTTCTTCTTCTTCTTCTCCTTCTCCTTCTCCTTCTCCTTCTCCTTCTCCTTCTCCTTCTCCTTCTTCTTCTTCTTCTTCTTCTTCTTCTCTTCTTCCTCCTCCTCCTCCTCCTCCCCCCCTCCTCCTCTTCCTCCTTCTACTCCTCCTGCTTCTTTCTTTTGACACAGAGTTTCTCTGTGTAGCCCTGACTGTTCTGGAACTCACTCTGTAGACCAGGAGGGCCTCAAACTCAGAATTCCATCTGTCTCTATCTCCTGAATGCTAAGATTGACTTTTTTAAACATTAATTTATTTACTATGTGTATGGTGTGTTGGCATGTGCCTATTCTGGTGTGTATATAGAAGTCAGATGACAACCTGATGGAGTCAGTTCATTTCTTAATTATTGTGTGAGTTCTGGGGTTTGAACTCAGGTCATAAGGCTTGCATGGAAAACACTTTTAATTTGCTCACTAAGTCATTCCCTCATAATTTATTTTCTAAATTTAAGGAATTAGATTTAAGTTCCTTTATTGAGAGAAGTTAATCTTTAGCACTATTGAAGAATTGGCTAGGAGACAAAGGTCAGGAGGTCATATTCCTTTATTACATACATGAAATATAAAAACAAATTCACAAAGCAATATATATATATTTTTGTGAGTCCACAGGACCTCAGAGAAAAATATGCTCCGGATATGAACCTAAAGTTTCGGCACTGTGGCTCCTGGTTTGTAAATTCAAGTACAGTAGAAGCTGTATGCAGCGTGGCTATGCCTGGATAAGGAAAATGAAGGATAATGAAAAACAGTAATTGGGTGAACTATCACATACATTGTGCTATGAAACGGGTAAATGTCACGACCACGTACTGTTAATAAGAGAAGGGAGAAAACTGGTCCAAAGTTCATGTTTAAATACTAAACACAAAAACAGAACAAATTCTGGGTTTACAATCATTTTCGAAGTGTGTCCAAGTGCATCACAAATAAATCAGCTTTTTTGACAGGTCTACTTCCCCTTTATGCAAACATATTTCTACATTTGTGGTTTCTTTCTCTTCTTTTAAAGTCTCTCTATCTCTCTTTCTTCTTTTTTTTTTTAAGTTTCAGTATGACCAGTATCTTGCAACCTAACCTCTCAGCCCGAACCGAGACTTCACACAAGTTGCGTCTTTGCGGTGTTTCTCCCGATGTCTAGAGCTAAATGGCATTGTTTCCTTGATCCACGGCTCCTGGGTCTTTATCCACCCACGGTGGCAGTGCTTCTGTCTCGGCAGGTCTTCACACAGCCCTTCTCTTGTCTTCCAGTCAGGAGCCGGCTCCAAACTTTCACAACACCAGCGGTAGGTTAAAGTGCTTTACGCAAGGAAATACTATATACACACACGGAGAAGTTCCTTTCACATCCCGCCCACCGAAAGTCCACACACAGCACACAGACAGGGCTCTTTAAGAAACACTTTTCCCGACGCTTGAGTTGGGGGCGGGTCCCTAAAAATCTCATTAATTCCTTAAATAGCATCAAATACAATGGACACAACATATCTCAAGCTGGGAGCAGACCTTGCCAGGGATACAGCCCCCGATGGATGCGTGCTAAACATCATGTCGCTATTAAAATATTCTCGATAGCTATGACTTTCAGAACCAGTTCCACAGAAAGCAGCGATCAGCTCGGGTTTCATTTCTCTTTCTGAAACAAAACTGTGTTTGAGCGCAGACCTAGAACAGAGAGATCGGACAAGGCCTCTGCATTGGAACCTTTTCCTACATTTTGGCACTTCAAAAAATATTCCAGTTTCATTTCAAGGTCTCTTTTTCCATTACACGCGTGTCTCTGTGTGCCTCATGTGTCCAGTGCTATTTGCATTCTTTCTTTAAGATATGCATGACCCTTCTCCCAAGAGCTGGTTTCCAGCGCTGGACGAAGCTTTTCATATTCACAACCAGTTTGCCTGTTCTTACGTCTTCGTGTCCAGCCACAAGGTACTCCAGACCTGAAAGCACAGAGGAGATGCATGCATGACACTCTGTTGAAGGAGAGGATGCGACTTCCAGAGTTTCAGACAACCCTGGTTCAGACTTTCATATAGGCAGGAACAGAAGGGAGAAGACTCGTTCAGTTCCCCCTGTTAAGTAAGAGTCCCGGGACTCTGTGCCACTCTGAGTGGGAAAGAAGTGAGGGATCGATGGGCACTTAATGTGTTACTGTCCCCTGGAGATCACTCCAATCAAGAAGGATTTACACCGGGCAGTGGTGGTGAACGCCTTCCATCCCAGCACTCGGGAGGCAGAGACAGGTGAGGTCACAGAGACCTCTGTGAGGTCAAGGCCAGCCTGGCCTACAGTGCGAGTTCCAGGACAACCGGGGCTACACAAAGAAACCCTTGTCTTGTAAAACAAAAAAAACAAAAACAAAACAAAATAAAATAAAAAAGAAGAACTTTACAAAACTAAAGCAACGTGAGGAAAACATTAGAACTGTGGATGACAGAAAATGACATGTATTCTCTCTATACAGCTGTATAAAATGACATGTATTCTCTCTACACAGCTGTATAAAATGACATGTATTCTCTCTATACAGCTGTATAAAATGACATGTATTCTCTCTACACAGCTGTATAAAATGACATGTATTCTCTCTACACAGCTGTATAAAATGACATGTATTCTCTCTATACAGCTGTATAAAATGACATGTATTCTCTCTATACAGCTGTATAAAATGACAAGTGTTCTCTCTATACAGTTGTATAAAATAACATAAAATGGCATGTATCTTTCTATATAGTTATAGTTGAGGACTGAATATATCTTTGTATTTGAAGAATAAATATATCCTACTTATTTGTTTATGAACAAAATAAAGCAAGAAAAAAAATCTTATGAAACTTGACCACAGTTAGTTCTGCCCTTGTAATTAAAAAAAAATTTCAGGCTTTGAGTAAAACATTTTGGCTAACAAAGGCAAAGAAAGATGGAGTGTCTCCTTATGTACTAGTTAAGGAAATGATAATATTCCTCATTACATATTTGTAATAATGTCAATTTTGATATTTTGAAACAATTTTATAAAATGTAGGGCATATAACTTTCTAAGACAAAGAGTTATATAGTTATAACATCTAGCTAAAATTTTAAAGTATATAACCCTTTGTCTTAGAAAGTTATTTTAACTAGATGCAAAAATTCAAATATATGTTGGCTTAAATCTCTGAGTCATACAGAGTGATGCATGCCTGTAATCCTAGTTATGATGTCTGCTTGGTACACTAAGGCAAGGGTACCCCAAGTTTTAGGTTACCTAGGCAACTTGGCAAGACCTTGTTTCAAAATAACAAGGACTTAGGACTTAGCTCAGACGTAGAAGGCTTGTCTGGCAATGCACAAGGACCAAGGTTAAATCCCTAGTAAAACAAACTTTGGGGTTGGTGAGATGACTCAGGGGTTAAGAGCAGTGACAGCTCTTATGGAGGACCCTAGTTCGATTCCTAGCACCCAAACGGCAGCTCACATCCCTCTGTAACTCCAGTCTCAGGAAACCCGGCAGCCTCTTCTGGCCTCTGGGCACTGCATGAACAAGGTGTGCAGATATGCATGCAGGCAAAACACAAAGACACATAAAGATAAAGACCTAAAATAATAATAATAATAATAACAACAGCAACTTCTAGATCAAGACCAGTATTTTAAATTGCTTTAAAGTCACAAAAAGAACAAATAGTTCAGGAATTTCCCATTTGAATTATTAATACAAAACTAATACAAATGATGCCGGATAAACCCCTAGCATACGGAGTACCATCAAACCATAGCACACAGTCTTCTTTTACATCCTTTAGTATTGTGTACATTTGTCTCTCTTACGGTTTCATGTCTACTTTGTTATATGTTTGAGAGCACAATAGTTTTTGTCTATAACAAAAAGAAGGAGTACTTTGATGCTAGCATTGGTATTTAAAGACACACGGCTGATGAAATGTATGCACGATGTACGAATCACCGGGGAGTGGGCTGACACGGATGGCCAGGGGATCGTTCCGTTCAAAGGCAGCGCAGCAGAGAAGTGGAGGCGTGAGGTTTCAGAGCTGAGGCTGTTTTTTTTTTTTTTTAAATCAGCCTTCTTTAGTTTTCATCATTGAACTTGTAAAAATGGAAAAACAAAAGCAAAATGAAACAGTGTCTGGTTTTGCTTTGGCAGCTTCCAGATTTTTCTTCAAAGCAAGTAAACATGTTTTCAAGAATTCTTTGAATAATTGCGCTCATGTTTTCAATTGTGATGAGCTCAGAGGGTTCTTGGACTCTGGCAGAGACCTGAGCAGGAAATAGAGCTCACTTCCTGGAGGGCGGCTCAGACGGTCGGAGCTTTTGTTTTTAATGCCATTCTGCAACACTGGACAGCCTTTTTTTCCCCTTTTGCCAAGATAATAGAAAATTGTTGGTAAGAGCCCCGAAGCACACAGATCATTGGGAAACAGAACTTAAATGAACGACTCTTGTTTCCCATATTCGAAAATCCAAAATTCTTACTTGTTCTTCGGAGTTACGCGTTGGAGCTATTTACCTTTATAATAAAAGAGCTTTCCTTCTATCTTATTGAAGTTTAAATGAGATTAAGTAAAATATCAGCGGGATGAAAGAGGTAAGAAATTAGTTAACCGGAGAAAACTACTTTTGTTTTAAGTCACCGGTTAAGTGTTGATTAAGGGGATATTTTGTTTGTAGTTTTCTGTTATCTGTTTCTTCTAATCTGTCAATCAAAAAGACACAGAAGAGTTCTTCCTAGTGTGACTGTGCTTTCCTGGCTCAGAAGGGGAATAAATTAGATCCAGAATACAGAGGATGCTCCTGCCTCAGCCGCCGACAGCCCAGGCGATGGCTGCACCAACAGGAAATCACGGAACACACGTACAGGGAAGCAGGCTTTTAGAATCGATCGTCTGAGCATGAGAGACCACTAATGTCATCTTTTTGGTTTTTCGAGACAGGGTTTCTCTGTGGCTTTAGAGCCTGTCCTGGAAATTAACTCTTGTAGACCGTGATGGCCTCGAACTCACAGAGATCTGCCTGCCTCTGCCTCCCGTGTGATGGGATTAACAGTGCGTGCCACCACCGCCCAACTGGGTTTTGTATTTCTTAATGTCAGTTCAAAGAATTCCTTCTGGATATTCAGAAGGTGATGGGGGAGATGATCTCAGGGAGTTTTGGTTCAGAGGATGTAAGACAGCCAATGTGCAGAGACAAGGGTCACAAGATTAACTAATTAAATCCAATTAGTGCTCACCTGGATTGAGGATCGGACACGTGCAGCCCCTGTTTGTCCAGGACTCAGGGTACAGCGTCCTCTTGCCTCGTAAGAGCTTCAGTTTCGTAGACTGTAGGACTTTTTTTATCTTCACATTGACCTCGGCATGGGAACCTTTGTCGTGAGCTGATAAAATCTTGATTTTTAACACTGGAATGACACAATTCCAAAAGTTAAAAAAATAAAAAAAATGTAAAGTTCATGTTTCCTTTGGAAATCTGAACTATTTGAAGATTTATTTCCAAGTCTGATGGAAAGGTGAATAGACAAAAATCATAATATGGAAATCTGCTTTACAATCACGAGACTCGTTCTTTTTTTTACCATGACTTAATCTCATTTATATTTTATTTTCTCCTTATTGGGCAGTTTCAACTTTTGCCCCCTCCCGTATTATGACACTAGAGAGATATTATCCATTGCCTTCTACAGATAAAAATTTAAGTATATTCAACTGAGTGAGGCAGGGTAGCTGGTGGATCTCTGAGTTCAAGGCCAGCTGGGCCTACAAAGTGAGTTTCAGTACAAACCAGGACTACACAGAGAAATCCTGTCTCAGAAAACAAACAAACAAACAAGCGCATTCATATATCAAAACTACCAAGGAAGAAAAAAGTAGGAGGTTGAACTATTGTCCTGATTTTATGTAGATTCTGATTACATATTATAATATGTATTTGTTTATGTATATGTACGTATGTTATACACTCCAGTGGTTTGCTGTCTATGATGTTACGGCAGAGAACAAAATGCTTTGGTAGAATATAGTTTGCATCACCGTGCAGATGCTATGGCGCTATTATTATTTCCTGTTCTTTGGAGTACAACATAAGCTGTCTAGGTGAGGTGAAGTGCCCTCTGGCTTGATGGCAGGACTATCGTAATCCTTTTCTTTCATTTGTTTTAGGATTTATTTATTTTTATTTTCTGTGTCTGAAGTATTTGCCTGCATGTGTATATGTGCGCCATAGGTGTGCCTGGTGCCCATGGAGGCCGGAAGAAAGCATCAGATCCCCGTGTGGAGCTAGAGTTACAGACTGTGATAAGCTACTATATACACGCTGGGGAACGAACCCTGGTCCTCTGCTAGACCAGCCAGTGCTCTTAACTGTTGCGTCACCTCCCCAGACCCTTCTTTTAATTTTTAAGACTTGGAAAATGTTTCTAAATTGATACAAAGAAATTAACCCTGCTTATAGAATTTCATGCGCTATTCTAATATGTGCGTTGTAAAGTGTAGAAGAGGGTAAGTTGACCTGTTCAAACCCTCATCATGCCTCTGTAGTGAGGACACCCATAGTCCTTTCCCCCTCTCTCTGCAATATACAGTGTAATACTAATGTGACACGTAATTACCCATGTCATACATGATGATTACAGATCATCTTCAGTGTTCTGCTTGAATTCTGATTCTAGTATGCTCTTCTGTCTATGAAATGCATGGGACTAAAAATTAGGGAGTGGAATATGTCAGGGGAGGGAAGAGTGTAGACCTAGGAACACTAGATATAATTTTCCATATCATTAAGGGAGTGTGTACACATTTTGATAAGACCATGGTGCACGATGAGAGAAGCCTATTTTAGCTGATTCCGTATTTCGAGAATGTCACATCAAGACAGCTGTCTTCACAGAATCAAGGATCAGAATTATAGGGCATCTCGAGAATGAACCTAGTCTTAAGAGTCTTCTTAAGCAATTGATTGAAATGTTCATAGGCCTGGTTGCTTTGCATAGAGCTGGACCAGGCTCCTGATGAGATGAAGTTGTGTGTGCATACACAGAGTGTGGAGCACAGTGCCCGGTAAGTATGGCTGCTCCAAGACAGCAGGGACCTTGTTCCCTCACTACTGTTATTCAATAAATACTGGAAACAGGAATACACAGCAAAATCAATCAAGTGGACTTCCCCCCATCATGTTGGAGAATAAACTCCTTTTCCTTTATTCGACACTATATTTTCAAAATATTTCTTTTACTGGCCAAATTGGGGAATCAATGGGGATGAAGTATGCTTGCGTCCCAGGGTTCCTCTGCGTAATAGACCCGGCTGCCTTGGAACTCGCTCTACAGGACCAAAATGGTCCTCAAGTCACTGCCCGCCTCTCCCTCTACCTCCTGCCTGCTGGGATTAAAAGAGTGGACCACCACGCCTGGCAGTATGTTTGTAATTTTAGATAAGATTTATATGTTTTCTTATTTTTTTATTTATCTTTATTTTATGTGCACTGGTGTTTTGTCTGTATGTATGCCTGTGTGAGGGTGTCAGACCCTCTGGAACTGTTACAGACAGTTGTAAGCCGCCACGTGGATGCTGGGAACCAAACCTGGGGACCTCTGGAAGAACACTCAGTGCTCCTAACTGTTGAGACATCTTTCCTGCTTTACTTAAAAAAAAAACCCATTTATTACTTAATTCTTATAAGGTTAAAACAATGCTATCTAGAATGGAAACACTGGCAGGCTTGGTGGCTCCCAGCACATGGGAGGTAGAGGCAGGCAGATCTCTGTAACCTGGAGGCCAGGGTGGTATTAAGTTTCAGGCCAAGTAAGAAAGAACAATAAACAAAACCAAGAATGAAAATGCTCTACTTGGTTTTGGCAATCTTGACTGAAAAACTTTCTCTCTATTTGAATGTACATGTTCAGTCATTTAAGTCCTGGCTATTCTGGAACCAACTCTCTAGACCAGGTTGGTCTCGAACTCACAGAGACCTACCTGCCTCTTCTTCCATAGTGCTGGGATTAAAGGCGTGCACCACCACCGCCTGGATGAGTCACCAATCTTAATACCTCACAGACAGCCATTTTACCATTTCCCAAGCATCTAATGTGCTATGGAATGTCAGCCTAGAGTTTCCCTAGACAGCTCAGTACTTAGTTTGACTAGGAGGCACACAAGCGTGGAGGGCTTCAAACTCACCATACGAATACTTCATTCCGCAGAATGCCTTGGGGTTTCCTAACACTTGTTCCTTACATTCACATTTACCTACATAAAGTAAATGGAAAATTGTGTTAGCGGGATTGGCGGGGGGTGGGTGGGTGAGTGGGGTGGTGAGGGAGGGGTGGTGGTTCTGTAGGCAAATTCAGGTCTCACAGCTTGCTTCTCTGTTGATTCATATATAACACCTGTAAGTATGAAGCAATCATGGGAATAGTTTAAAAGAAGTAAATTCTTTTTCCAAATAGAATTGACTATCATCTAATAAAATATCAACCTAGGTAAAATATGGAAGATGAAGTCACCATCAAATTCCAATGCACAAAATGATGTTGTCATAAATACAGTCCAGCGTCGATAAAAAGAAACAGCCAGCAGCATGCACTTACAGGAGAGTAACTAAGCATATTAAATAGCCCATTAACAGTTATGTCAACTAAAATCCAATAAAATACTTGGTAGCCCATTGAAGGTAATTGGATGCCTTACCACCTGCTGGGCATGGTGATGACGTCATTCAGAGCACATAAAGTATGAGCAAGATACAGTTCTTGCCTAAGGCTTGCAATTTGGCAAGTAAAAAAAGGGAGTGTATAAAAAAAAAGGTGATTAAGTGGTCTAAGAAAGACATACAACATGTGCTGGGTGGTGGTGGCATACGCCTTTAATCCCAGTACTCGGGAGGCAGAGACAGACAGATCTCTGTGAGTTCAAGGCCAGCCTGGTCTACAAGAGCTAGTTCTAGGACAGGCTCCAAAGCTACAGAGAAACCCTGTCTAGAAAACCAAGCAAACAAAAAAGAAAGAAGTACAACACGCTTAGGTGGGAGGAGGGTCCTAGGGAAGAAGAGAAAAGCCTTCTTGACTGAAGAAGGGTCTAGAATGGTCGTTTACAAAAAGATGGGGTGGTTTCTTCCAACCATTGAAGTAGTCCGTTAGAACTGCTGCAAATGAGAACTGCCAGGCCCTATAGGAGACTTTCATAAACACCTTAGTACAAAAACAAACGCCATGAAAGTGAAGTTTTCAGTTAATGAGAGAATTGTCGAATCACTAACAGACATAGAGACATTGGGGGGGGGCATTTCAGGGCTTTATAGTTTTAAGGGCTTTGGCAGCAACCACCTATCTAGTTTGTTGCTTTAAAGGACGTAGCATAGTAGTAGCTCTCTGAAGGGAGAAGCAGCTGAAATCAGAACTCAATAAAAGCAGGAGTTGGTGGGGCACCGGGGACACCAGCAGTGGAGTAGCTGGCGGCAGCGGAGTAGCTGGCAGCAGCAGAGTAGCTGGCTAGTGTTTCTTACAGCTGTGCCCCTGGAGCCACACGCTCTGTCCTGTGCAGATGTAGTCACCGCTTCGGTTCCAGAGACAGAGAGGACACTTCACTACGGTGAGACAGGAAGGGGGGCTTCTCATAGCGAGGCCGAGAGGCACTAACCCAGACGTAACAGGAAAGAGGGAAAAATGGATCTGGCCCAGACCGAGATGACAGTAGCCTAGGACAAGGAGGAGACATTGATCCAGAGCATGCTGGCAGGACATCCGGGCAGATATGCCAACCCAGTGAGGGTGGTACGAGCACCTCTGGCATCTCAACTACAGCGATGCAGGCTTCAGAAAGGAGAACCAGAGTTCCGTGTGGAAAAGCCCAAGCAGAATGAAAAAGTGGGAAAGGAGTGGAAGGCGCTTAAAACCGGCGGTTGTGATTCGCTTATAATCTAAACCCAGCAGAGGAGCGCGTTCAGAAGCTGCTCTAAGTGACTGGCCCGTGGCCTTTGAGAGCGGCAGTGAAGCCGGGAGCGTGCCAGCTAGCATGCTGCCATAGAACTAAGGGGACCACGAGAGAATGCTGTACACCATCCCTCCCCACAAAGCTGTCCATCAGTCCTCTGGGCAGCACACAGGTCTGTCACTTGAAGGTCTGTCTGACTTCCTGACAATACCACTTTTTTTCTCACACACTCAGAGTTCAAGCATTCACATGGGCAGGTCAAGCTGGGTTCCGTGAGGGAGCTTATATTGGCTCAGCTATTCAGAAAGCCAAGCCCAAGGGACTGGTTGAGCCCAGGAGTTCACACCCAGTCAAGGCCTGTCACGAGAGCCAATTTCAGAGACTAATATTTTTCATTCGTCAGGGTTTAAGCAATCTGGAAATGGACCTGTTTGGTTACAGTAGGATCGCTAGGACATTTTGAGAAATGAACATGGCCCACAGTTTTCTGGTACTATTGAAAGTCAGATTTGTCATTCGGGAAGCCAGAACTCACATCTGGTGTTTTCTACCTCACCAGTGGGAGAAATGACAGATTAGAAGGCTGAGCGTGCGCTTAATCGTCACACACTTTGCCTACCAAGGACAGGGCTCAGGGCTTCATCTCTGGCACTGAGAAAGAAGGGAGTAAGAGGAATGGAGGGAGGAAAGAAAAGAAAGGAAGGAAAGAAGAAAGAAGGAAGAAGGAAGAAAAAGAAAAAAGAGAAAGGAATTTCTTGTGACACATAGCAGTATTAGTAGCAGGCAGATTGCATGATAATTGTACTTAAAAGCTTTTGATGGTGTTTACCGTAGATCGGTAGACAGGTAGACAACTAGATTCGAGGGTGAAAGGGCTTTTTTAAGTGCTTAAGAAACTAGCTGCCACTTCTTGCTGAAGAAAGGTACCCAGGAGCACTGAGCTATACCCGAAGGGAATGTTGAAGCTGAGCTGTCTTCTTCCCTCGGGAAAGCATCCAGATGGATCCCAGAGCCTCCCTGGGGACATCCTAAGCCTAACAGCTGTGGGGACACTTTGTGTGCTCACTGGGCATGCTGCCAGCTCCCTAATAATGTGCACAATGGACTCAGTGGACGTCCTGGAGTCCAAATGACCTGGTTACTACAGATTTGGTCCAGCGGGGTGGTTACAGATTAGAAGTCATTGCCAAAGCAAAGTAGAAGAGAGCTCGGAGTGGCTATATACCATGTGGACTATATAGCATGGATATCCGTCTTCTTTCCCAAATGCTCTGAAAAAGGACAAATACGAGGGCCAAGCGTGGTGCACATCTTTAATTCCAGAACTTGGGAGGCAGAGACAGGGGTTAGAAGCCAGCTTCAGGCCAACCTGGCCTATACAACTAGTCCAAACACAAACAGATAAGACAAGCTCATATTACTTTATAGTTCCTAGCTTTTTCCTATGGTAAGTTATAAGGAGACCCTTAGGAAAATTATTACGACATATTTAGTGAGGAAAAACTGAGTCATAAACACCAGTGCTTCTCAAATTTGGGTTCATGGATCGTTTTGCTGTTGTATTGCTGAGACAATGTTGCTCTATGTAATCCTGACTGTTCTGGAGCCAGCTATGAAGGCCAGGCTGGCCTTGAACTCACAGAGACCCTCCTGCCTTTGTCTCCTGCCTGCTGGGGTTAAAGTGTTGTGCCACCATGTCTGGCTCGAATCTTTAAATTTTTTTCAAATAAACTATATTATAGAAAAAGATCTCTTGCAAATAAAAAGATCACACATCAACATCCTTGGCTCTTGGGCTCTAGGTTCCCTATGAAAAGGTGTTAAAACAGTGGTCTCTTCATTATCTAAAATGTAGATTGAATTAAATGACAGCTCTAAATTTCTTTGAAAATAATAAAATCTTGGGAAAACAGCATAACTGAGCAATACAGCTTTGTAAATTCACCCTTGTCTAAGTTAGGGTTGCTGTTGCCGTGAAGAGACACCATGACCACAGCAACTTTTACAAAGGAAAACATTTAATTGAGGCTGGCTTACAGGTTCAGAGGTTTAGTCCGTTATCATCATGGTGGGGAAGCATGGCAGCGTACAGGCAGACCAGGTGCTGGAGATGGAGTTGAGAGTTCTACATCTGGATCCCCAGGCAGCAGCCTACCACACTGAGTAGCAAAGGAGACCTCAAGACCCACCCTGACAGTGACACACTTCCTCCTACAAGACCACACCCACTCCAACAAAGCCACACCTCCTAATAGTGCCACTCCCTTTGTGGCCATTTCCTTTCAAACCACCATAATACTGGAATGCATTTTCATCTTACGCATATGTATGCGTGTATGTTAAGGGGTATTTGTGTGGATGCGTGTGGTATGCATGTGTGTGGTAGACGCCAGAGTCAATGTCAAGTGTCTTCTTTGGTTGTACTTTTATTTTGTGGGACAGGTTTCCCCTAACTAAACTTGGAGCTTGGTGATTACAGCTAGATTTCCTTGCCAGCAAGTTCCAGGTATCCGTCTGTCTCTGACCTTTCCCTTCCGCCAAGTGCTGAGATTGCAGGTGCGTGCTGTGCTTGCTTTGGGTTTGTTTGCTTGCTTGTTTGTTTGTTTTGTTTTGTTTCTTAAATGTTTGTTCTGGGAAATTGTTGGGTCAGTTTCCTCTGAGTTTGATATGTCCCATCCTACAGGGAAGCTCCCTCAGCCGGAAGGTAAACAACTCAAAACAGCGTCAGAAAGTCCCTGAAACTGACCAAATTCTCTAGGCGGCTCCCTGCCAGGGTAAGCAGAAACCCCCTCAGATGAGGGAGCCGATGCAAAGAGGACTCTTAGATGCATAGAGCTGCCGACAAGACTCAGATGAGAGGAGCTGGCATGAGATCAGACCAGCTGTCTGGAAGAAGCAGAAGCCAGCGGAATGGTCTGGAAGGGGGAATGAACCTGGATGAACACTCTCCAGCCTGTTAAGCTGCCTGCAGGTTGTGCTGTGTGCTCCAGGTTCCCAGGTTGTGAACTGTCGCCCCTACTGAGGTAGGCCTTGGTGACACAGCTGTCTGAGAGCCATTTATGCTCCCATAACCCATCACCCATATTCCTGCAAGTAACCCCAGTGATGCTTATGGGTTCACCAAGTTGAACTTTGGCGGTCATGGTTGGCACTTTGATCTGTTGTGGGCTTCCTATTGGTAGTGGATAGATATGTGTTGTGTCTCCCTTAGAAAAGTTCTATCACACAACAGAGATCAAATCCAGAGTCTTCATACTTGCTGTACCAGCGTTTTACTGACTGAGACCATTGCCTCAGCCTCAAACACACAGCCATGTTAGGGAAAGGAGAAAAGAAAACAGATATAGGACGCATCCGAGCCAGAGAACAACCTCTGCGGGTTAGAAACAGAGTGTGCTCATGGGTGGGGTGTGTGGGCGACTTAAGAGTCTGGGGCCAGCAATCACAGGTCTTTTGGTTCTGCTTTCAGAATCAGGCAGTGGTGGTCAATGCAGACCTAGGGGGTGATGGGCACTAAGGAGGGGCCACCATGAGGCACTTCTTAAAGGTACAGAGCTGGCTAGGTTCTCCTCAATAATGATAATGAAAGGAGGTTGGAAACAAACTGTGGCCTGGGTTTCAGTCTGCAATTACAGAACTAGCGTTGGGGAGATTTACTTTTTTTTTTTTTTTAACTGTGATGTTCTATATTTTTCATGATATTTGTACAAAACCAGAAAAAAAAACCCCAAAAGTCTATTAAAATACACCTTATCTGTACTTCACATTCACATTTGTGGGGACAGGCCATGGCTTTATTGAACCTCAGAACTAAAGAATGCCCCTCAAAAGACTCCCCAACTGTTCCCCGGTTGGACACCATCTGGCTCCAGACCAGACTTGGAAGAATGATGGAAGATGACTCGGTCTCACCTGAGTGTCGGAGTGCAGAGAATCCTTGTTCGTCCCCCCACTCCCAGGTCGGCTCGCTCTTATTGTACGGAGAAGGAAAGGCGGGGACTTCGTGGTACCAATCGACGTCAGCGCTACTAACAAAACAGAAGACAGGCAGATTTAATAAGATGTTTTAGAACCCGAGTAAAAATCAATCTCGTTATAGAGATCCAAACTTTTCTATTTAGCTTTCCAGACACCAGTGCTGTTATAGGAAATTACTGTGCAAAATAGCTTAGTTTGCAAAACGAGCTAGACAATTTTCTGGAAAAGAAAATCACAAGAGCAAATTATTTGATTCTGCAGTCTGGAAAGTATTTTTTTTTTTAAGAGATGTGAGCAATGTGTGCTCTTCTTAATGGCTTTCAGTCACTGCCCAATCTCCGAACGCTTGAGCGACTCACAGAGAAGAAGAGGCACACACTCACCTGCTGATGCAGTCTCCTGTGAGTGGGTCACAGCTTCCGGCACAGTCACAAGGTCTGCAGCCATAGTGTCCAAAGCCCCAGTATCCCATCATGCACCTGTCACAGTGTGGCCCCGCCACCCCAGGCTTGCAAGGGCAGTCACCATTGCTAGGGTCACAGAAGGTCACTGAGCTGAATGGAAGGATAGCCGACCCGACTGGATGGCAGGAACATGCTGCAAAAGAAGAGAGAAGGGACTGGTGAGTGCCCGTGGATCAACCTTGTAGGGCTTATCCCTGGCGAGTGCCTTCATCTCATCAAACAGTGTGTTTCTGAGACGTCTCTGTAAACAGAGACTGTTCTTTTATTCCCAGATGCCCAGACCTAAATAATCACACAGAAACTATATTAATTATAATACTGCTTGACCTATTAGCTCAGGCTTCTCATTAGCTAACTCTTACATCTTACATTAACCCATTTCTGTTAATCAATGTATCACCATGAGTCTGTGGCCTACTGATAAGGTTCTTGCATCCTTCTCCTTCAGATGTCTTTTGACTTCTCTATCTCTATCTATCTATCTATCTATCTATCTATCTATCTATCTATCTATCTATCTATCT